AGTGATCCAAGAAAAATCAAAGACTGAAAAGTGTGTGGTCCTCTGACAGAGAAGCCATCACAATGTCTGTGTCTTGGTTATTAATTACGGCACACTGAAGTTTTAGATCTATTTTACCCAATGTGACATTGCATGCAATAATGCCTTGTTTATAAATCTCTTCTAATGAGTTCTCATGTCTGATTCTGTGGTTGCTTTCAGGACTGGGACAAAATGCACCACCTTTGGGAAAAGGTACAATGTTCAGATTATGACAATTGCCAAGTCTCCCTACCACTGGGAACATATTGATTTAGATCCTTTAATAGATTAATACTGTTACACCCCAGGATACACACTGTTTTCCTCACTTACAGTGATGCACCCCAGGCCTCTCTATACATGGGAAAAAAACAGGCAGGTCCCTCAAAGGCCTGAAGGGATCAGGATTGGGCCCTTCATGCCCCATCAAGCTGCCAGAGCACCTGCCTAGGATGGGGAATGTATTTCTGCCCTAAGTGTGATGTGTGCCCATGCCAATATGATCAATCCCAATCTGGCAGTAGGTGGAGATGTCACTCCTCATGGCAGGACTCTCACATCCTCATGCATTTCAAAGCACACCATGAGATGTGGCAGCCTGTGACAGTAATGGATCTGGATGGGACTGCACCTCCTCCTCCAGAGCTTTCTTGGCTGTCTCCTACAGAGCTTTCTGAGTGGTCCTTCCTCCCTTTCTCCTTATCTGCCCCTTCCCCCCAATTCTCTGCCATGTCTGGCTACACAGCCAGCAAAGTGCCCCAAACACTATCACAGGCTGGGCCTGCTCTATCACTACCACTAGTTGCTGCTTTTCCTACCTCCCTTATTGCCTCTGTTATGGGCAAGGCAGGACAAAGTCACGATCTGTGGAAAAGGGGCAAAGTGAACTTTCTTCTCTGAAAGAACAGCTCAAAATACAGAAATGGGGAAAATAAGAATTAAGATTAAATCAAGGAGAGAGCAAGAATAATATGGGTATGTCAAGCAACAAACTGAAGTGAGAAAGGAGAAAATAAAATATACACCATAATAAAGGTGCTAGGGAGAAAGACACTTCATTGAGAAAAGATGACGGGGAAAGGTGGGAAGGGCTGAGTATTGCGGGGCCAGGATCAGAATAAGTTTGGGTGGAACAACAATGAAAAGGGACTTGAGGCTGACCAGAAAGTCAGAGGACAGAGCAGGAAGCTGCTTGCTGAATAAACCGGGACAAAGGGGCGTCGGAAGGGACTGGAGTTGGCCAGGGTGGCTGAGTGGAGGAGTTGTGTGAGATCCTGTTTGCACATTCATACACCAAGACAACATTGTCTAAACTGCTACTTTTTGGTTCTTCAGGTCTTTGTCTATGTCTCTGCTTCCTTCCCTTTGCTTCTCTCTGTTGTCTCCTTCCTACCCTGTACTGCTCTCTCTTCCTCTTCGTGAACTCTTCCTCTGTGTGGCTCTTCACTCTCCCATAGCTTTCACTCCTTTCCTCCTCCTTTTTCTTCCCCAACGTTTCCTTGTCATTACAATGAGTGGTGATGAGGGAGAGGAAGCATCCAGGTTTCTCCTTCACAGTAATCCACCCTGTCCATGAGAATATGTGATTCTCCTTTTATTTCCATTGTTCCCTGCTGGGGACACAGCAGTTCTTGAAACAGCCACTGACTTGTAGGGACTGTCTGGGGACTACTCCTCTAGATCATACTTGCTGCAGGCCCAGACAGATGGACCAGAGCCCTTCCCACCAAGGAATCCCTTAACATGAGTTGGAAGAGTGCGTGAGCTGCTATAATTTCAGTAGTTTTGGGGGTTGCTTTCCTTTTCCATCCAACCATCATGATATAATCTTTCATTTTCCTCATTGATTAGAGAAAGGGCACTTGATGCAAAAAAGTTTATCCAACAGCTCTTCCAAATATTTAATCAACCCAATAAAAGATACTACAAAACATCCTTGCCTCCTGGACATTTCTTGGACCTTTGCAGCTCCAACAATACTCCAACTCTCTTTATTAAGACACCAAGGACACTTCTTCACTTTTAACATAATTACCTTCTATTTACATAAGTCGCTTATGGCTTCCTCACTCCCTCTTCCCCACACATAATCTCTCCATTTTACCTTAAAAACTTCCTATTCGTGTATATATTTTGCTCTTTCTCATCTGCTATGTCTTAGGCTGGTCCTTTTGGGTAAGCTCTGGAAACTTGGGAAATTGGACCTGCACTTGAAGCCTGGGACATAACAAATCTTTCTGAACTTGTAGGGACTGTCTGGGGACAGCTCCTCTAGATCATACTTGCTGCAGGCCCAGACAGATGGACCAGAGCCCTTCCCACCAAGGAATCCCTTAACATGAGTTGGAAGAGTGCGTGAGCTGCTATAATTTCAGTAGTTTTGGGGGTTGCTTTCCTTTTCCATCCAACCATCATGATATAATCTTTCATTTTCCTCATTGATTAGAGAAAGGGCACTTGATGCAAAAAAGTTTATCCAACAGCTCTTCCAAATATATAATCAACCCAATAAAAGATACTACAAAACATCCTTGCCTCCTGGACATTTCTTGGACCTTTGCAGCTCCAACAATACTCCAACTCTCTTTATTAAGACACCAAGGACACTTCTTGACTTTTAACATAATTACCTTCTATTTACATAAGTCGCTTATGGCTTCCTCACTCCCTCTTCCCCACACATAATCTCTCCATTTTACCTTAAAAACTTCCTATTCGTGTATATATTTTGCTCTTTCTCATCTGCTATGTCTTAGGCTGGTCCTTTTGGGTAAGCTCTGGAAACTTGGGAAATTGGACCTGCACTTGAAGCCTGGGACATAACAAATCTTTCTGACACGCGGACTGATCTGGTCCAAATTTGATATTTCTTTGACTGTCTCTTGCTGGAGTGGGAATGTCTCTCTGGGAAATGGCCCCCAAAATATGAGCATGGGAAAGGTTTACCAGACTGAGATTGAAGGCAGGCAGTGGACAGTGCAGAGAGAGGTGAACTGTATCCATGCTCTGCCCTTCACACCCTCTGCCGGGCTCTCCTGAGCCCCCAGGGTCTCTCGTCTCTGCCTGTGACCGGCAGGGGCAGGAGAGAAACGATCCCGTGTCCCAGCCCCGGCCCAGCCGGCGGGTTTCTGTCCCT